ATCCCTCTCACACTTTTTTTGTCTTGACAGTTTCATTACCTTCCAGAATTAGCCGTGTTCGTGCTTGGTAAGAAAACAAGCTGTTACTGGCCATGTCCGCCTGTCCCTCGCTCAGGCTGCTATAAACTGAGAAGCTCTAATATCTGACAGGGGCTCAGATTAGAGGTGCTGCTCCTCCAATGTCCAGTAAAATCAAAATTAGTTTTGGTATTTTTGGTAATTTAACAACTGCAAGCTGTATGGAGCTAAGCAGTTGTAACTCAACACTAAGTAGGTCACTGGGGTTTAAGTTGGAATAGTAGAAACAAGTCTACAAAGAGAGAGAGAGAGAGAGAGAGAGAGAGAGAGAGAGAGAGAGAGAGAGAGAGAGAGAGAGAGAGAGAGAGAGAGAGAGAGAGAGAGAGAGAGAGAGAGAGAGAGAGAGAGAGAGAGAGAGAGAGAGAGAGAGAGAGAGAGAGAGAGAGAGAGAGAGAGGTGGGTGGGGGGTGGGGGTTCCTCTGGTGCCCAGCAAGGCTTCAGTTCACGCACATATTGTAGGCTATTCAGTGCCTGCTGGATTTGTTTTGATGTACTCAGAGATGATTGCATCTTTCCCCTAAGTGTGTTACTTTATTCATCACTTATGAATTCATTCACTCCCCCCGTACTTTATAAGGAACCCACCCCATGTTTATTCATTGTATGCATTCACAGTCAACCACCTTCCAGGAACAGATGCAGCACGTGATTATGCTTGTGGGTGGGAGGTGTTAGATGAGCTATTACGTTTTTAACCATTCAGTGCGTTTACATGCAGCCAGTAACCCTTTTAAAACCCGAATATTCACAATAACCCGGTTCCGCAGGTCCTTGTAAACACCGCCAAAAACCCGGATATGCTCATAACCGGGTTTTTAAAAACCTGGTTAATACACCTGGGGTAACCCTTTTCTAACCCGAATGTTTGGTCGTGTAAACGCATATCGGGATATCCCCATCAAAGCGTGTGTTCTGCGCATGCTCTGTTCGCAAGGAATCTTGGTCTTTTGAGTAGCGAGACGTCTTGTATGCGCCAGAACACCGGAAGTAAACAACAAGTTGGGAGCAAAATGGCGAGTCGCGGCACAGCACCACACTTTTGGAGTGACGAGGAAACTAAAGCGCAAACAAACGCGGTCACTATCTCCTCTGAACTGGGAAAAATGTTGTTGTTTTCACGGATACCGGAACAAGAAGAACCGAAAATGACGCATATTGCGTCTGGATGTAGTCCATACGTCCTGACGCTACCCCAACGTCCGCATTTAAATCGGGTTATGCACGTTAGAGGTAACTCTTTCTATTTATGCTTGTAAACGGGTTATTCTGATCAACTCAGAAACCCGAATACCGACCTTAACCCGATCATAACCCGGATATTGGCTGCATGTAAACGTACTGAGTGTTGGTTGCTTTAAGTAGTCTATTCATTCATCCTGGTCCATACCATGGGAGGAACGGAACAGAGAAAGTTGCCTTACACGAGTTCTGATGTATTGCTGTGACAAGCATTTGACTGGATACCAAAAAAAAAAAGTCATCACAAATCAATGACCATAAGAAACTCAGAACCTTTGTTCAGTTGAGGAGTATTTTGTTGTTTTAGTGAAATAAATTTATGAGGTTTAGTGAAAAGGAGCAGAGCTGTATAATACCTTATTGATTCTGTACGTGCTGCCTAGTTAACAGCCCCAGTGCCTGATTTGTTAGAGCTTAATGAGATAAGAAGAAAAAAACAACATTACAACACAATCGCTTGAAAATCTCCCCTAAATAAGACGGATTAACCACTGAACCACATTAACGACGAGTCGCAATTTTATCAGAGAACAAAGCTTTTACACAACTTCACTCATGCAAAACCATCACCATTCTGGGAATCACTTTCTTTATGCTTTTCATAAATAATTTAAACCACTATAAACTAGCCTAAGTATCTGAATTATTTAATTTGGTGCTGTATCAAAGTGCAAATACATCAAATGGGAAACAAAATCAAGCCTTCAAAGCTTCTTTGTTGACTGACATGACAAAAATCACACCACTGGAGTCATGAATAGCAGAAAATGGCAAATCTGAGATAAACGGGGGTAGAAGCAGGCAGAAACAGACACATTTCTAATTGCAATGCAGACATTTAGATTAAACCACAACTACAGGAGAGTTTCACAGCTGAGAGCCAGAAGCTCACATGGAAACACCAGATAAGAACGCCTCACAGGCCGGATAAAGGACTGTACTGGTGTTTTAGACTACTTTCAGGGGAATGCATTACCTTCCATTAAAGGCAAGAAGCCACTCAGTCTGAAAACGGAAACTATAAAATAATGTTTTTCCAAGAGAAAGACAACAAAAATACAAACTTTCCCTTAACAAAATATGTAAAAAATAATCAGTTAATAAGTCATGTCTCTCAGTCATGTCTCTCTACATGTTTTAAACATTTTATATAAATTAACTGTTTTAAAATGATGAACAAATGTGTTTTGAATCAAAACCGAATCCAGCAAAGACCAAACTGAAGTTATTTATTACATATGAAAGTTCTTGTCGAAACACAAATTCAGCTGTCTGGATTTGCTTCAGTTGCTGCTTGAAGTTATTAACATAAAACACATAACTCTCCTTCGCTTGGTTAAAATACACTGTAAAACAGGAGAAAATAATGAATAGGAATGGCCAGAAAATAAAACTTTATTGTCTGAAATTAGCAGGCTTCATGATTTTCTCATAGAAGTGCGTTAAAACTATTGCCCAATAATAAACGTTTCATTTACATCAATTTGACATTTTAACATTCAGATACACATAAAAGTTCAGTGATCAGCATGGGACTGACTTTAGCGGTGCTAACCTTTTCTGGTGAGTATGAATATCATAAATACTCATTTACAGGTTGAAGGAGTCTGGAGGATTAAAGCTAAACAAGCAGAAAACAGAGAGGGAAGCTGAAGGTCTATGTCGTCGTTCAACAGATCAGAGAGCACCAGTTCCTTCCCTGTGCTCAGAAATCTCCCTCTAGCAATCACTGAATCTGCCGCCAACTCTTTCTGTTGCTTTAATCTGTGTGCACAGTGCAGTCACGCCCATTTATTTATATCTTTTGTAAAATAGCCTTTATCATACATCAGTTCTACATAACTTTTGAAAAACATTTCAGTTCCTTACCCGTCCACTTGACCATCTTCAGGCCACTTAACTGTGATCTATAAACCATTCAGACAGAAGAATGCTCCTAAACTAAAGAGATGAATCCGAGTTGTGTTCCGACATAGGGTGTTAAAGGAAGCTCAGCAAAAAAAGTCTGAGTGACCAGTCATATTTCAAAAACAACAAGTAAAAACAGATTTCTCAGTGAACTTGGTCTAAAAAATATTTGGACCATTACATCCCTTTCCCTAGAAAATAACAAGTGCCGGTCATACCACTGAGACATGTCACATCAGCATGTTGCAGCTCATTTCCATCGATCGTTTTGGGAAAGATCGGATTGCTAATTTTTCTGTTCTGATTGTAAAGCTGGTCTAGACAACCTATACCGGACCGTGCCAGTCACATGACCTTTTTGGCCCCCTTCTGTTGCAGGTCAAGAAACTTCTAGAGCGGCATGATTAGGGCGGAGCCACAACACAGTCCACTGATTGGTTGACAGAAATGCGTCACTACTTGCAATAAGTAAAACAAAAGTTCTGATGTTTGTATTTTCAGTAGTTGTACGGGATGTGAAAAAATACCAGCAAAGAGCAGCAAATGTTGGTGACCTTCAGAGCTCCATACATTCCTCACCGTCATCCTGAGAGTCCACACACTCAGGAGCTAGACGGGACACTAAGGGCATTTTTTTTCTCAGCGGACGGTAGCTGAAAGACTCAAGTGGACGTTGAAATGGTGTTGGGCCAAGCTGAAGAAATGAAAGCCCAATATAAAAGGTAAAGGACAAAAACAGCCTGAGTGGATTTAAAAAATAAAATTTTCGGATTAAACAGAGATTCTATGACACGCTGGATGCTATTTATAGCCACAGACCGAGGCAGCGATGCAGGCCTCTGGACTCAGCGACCACACTCTAGTGTCAGTTGTGGGGTCTGTAAGCATTTCGTTGTTATTTTTAGGGCTGCAGACCATTTATTGCAGCAACAAAATAAAAAATAGCTGCACAACTTAGTTCTAAAATCACACACGACTGAAGCAAAGTTTTGCATGTGCAAGAGGTAAAGTTAGGATGGGTGTGAGGGGCAGGTACTGCGACAGCCGGAAAACGACGCTCTGGCACAGTGCGTCAGCTCCCAACGTGCGTCGGAAGCAAACTCTTCGTCACCCATCTTCATTTTACAACGCTTCGGGTTTGAGAATGTGTTGAGTACACGAGAGGCAGTAAAAGTAACTTTAATACTTTCAATTCTACTTTGTTTTTCACCTTGTTCGTCATTTTCATTCCTACTTCTATAGCTTAATAATGTTTTGGGATGGTAAAAGAGTGCGGGGGGGGGGTGTCCCCTAAAAGACTATGTCCATGAGTGCTGGTACTGTGCACCAGTGCACTTAAAGTAATAGACCAATAAAAATGATTACCAGAAAGTCAGGCTCATAGAGGCAAAATAAAGTGAGACTGATCTAACTTCATACATCTTTTATGGTGTCATGAAGGGAATATTAATAGTATACTTGGAAGAGAACGCACTCACACAAACACACACAAATACACACGACTGTGATTGTCAGCTAAAATAACATCCAGGCATTATCTCAAAATGCCGACTGGTTCCTAAACTGCCCTTTCCAGTATTCAAAATCAACATTTCCCACAATAGCGACGGCTGCTGTAAACAAGCCAGTTTTAAACCAAATCTCTGAGTTTTCATTACAACCAGCCTTTTTTCAGAGGTTTAGGGTAATTTGCTTGATTCACATAAACAATTAACAGCAGAACAAAAATCCAAAGAGAAAATATGCTTTAGCTGTTCAAGGATGTTTCTACTTACATGCATTGGTCACTGCAAAGCTGTTGGCCGTCTCTATGTTGTCCACGTGTGGAACCAGATTAAAGGGAGCTTCCGTAGCATTGGGGCTGGTGTTGTGAAGGAAGATAGCTAGTCGGAACGCTGTATATTCCTGATCTGTATTCCTAATGAACAGTCCACCTAGGCCAAGGAAGAGACAGACAAGATGAAGAGGAGAGGAAGTGAGTTATTGTGGGGTGAAGAGGGGTCAGGAGGAAACATGGGGAGAAAGAATGATGCAGGAAAAAAAAGGGGAGGAGATGGATGGAGAGGGCGGAGGAAAACAGAGGGGGGAGGTGAGAGGAGAAAGCCAATATCTTCATTAGCTTTGTTATAAAAGGTAATTTGTCTTTCAGCAGAGCTTCACATTGATGAAATCAGAGCAAGGCAGAAAGGAGGAGAAAAATGCTGACAGGGAAGTTAAATGAGTCAGAAAAGACAGAGGAAGCCTATAGAGAAGGTCAGGTTAAAGAAGGAGAGGGCGGCATTAAATTAGGAATAAACAACTAGCAATAACTCATAGTTAAATTTGTTTTTAAAAGTACACAGAATACACTTGACTTCAGCATCAAGTAATACCTTCATCTCACTTTCAAACAACAGCCTGAGCAGAGGGAGAGGCTTTTTCGGTTATCTCAGCTGCTTATTAATAGCAGCCAAAGTCAGATCAATAATACGATGTAAAACGATTTGTTCATACAGGTGGGATTAAAATAAAAGTAATGGAAGCTGAAAAATGAGAGCAAAAGACAGGCAGGATGGACAATCAATCAATAAATAAATACATTGACTTAATTTAAGGATGAAAACATTCAACTTTAGTACCATTGTCTATGATGTTTGACCAGTGAACATAAAATTATTACTTTACTTATCTACTATTTTCACTGCAAAAGCCTCATTCTGTCTGCATACGTTCAATCATCCAACACGAAACAATCCTCCACAGGCCAAAACTTTAGGAAATAAAAACTAATATTTTACTGTTGATTTCCAATTCAGTTTCTGTATGAAAAAGTATTGAAAGAAGTTTTTTTTTAGCTAGAATCCACTGGCAAACTGGAAACCCTCAACAGCCCTATAGGGAGAGAGATGAGAAGGAAGAGGAGAGGGGAGGAGATGGGAGGGGAGGTTTCTTTATTCTAACATTTAGTCATCTGTAATAAAAAATTGTCTCTTTCAAATTAAAACTGGCTTTACTAACTCAGTCCAGAATCCAGTCAGACAAGCAAATGTTGGCATAAGATACAAAATCTGGCAACAAAACATTTCTGGTAACAGAAAAATGTAAATAAATAAGCTGACAATTAACAAAAATAAACAAGTTTTTGTTCAGATTTGTGAACAATGTTTTTTTTTTGCAAAGAAACTGTTTAGTTGTTCCAAATGCAGAAATGCATTAGTTTAGCTTCCGCCTTCTGCTTCACACACACACACACACACACACACACACACACACACACACACACACACACACACACACACACACACACACACACACACACACACACACACACACACACACACACACACAACACACACACACACTGCTCCTGCTGATCTCCAAAGGGCAAAAACACACAAGTGACTCCTCAGGTAAAGTGGAGAGCTCACGAGCTGAGAAGATGATGATTTACGTGCAGGTATAATGGGTAGAAACAGAAACCCACAGGTTTACTGCAGCTTGAATGCACGTTTGTGCCATGCAGCATGCATCATATTAGTGCTACTTTCTGTCAGCATGTGCACAAATGCTTCCACAAGAGCGCAGGTACGTGTGCAGAGCCAGCGGACGATATTTAGCGCATTAAGTTTTATTGGCAGCTGCGAAGAGACGGAGTCAAGGAGGCGAATCTCATTATAGGACCTCTCAGCTGCCCCCACCTCCCCATCCTACACACAGTACTGATGCAGTGGACGTGTGCTTTCTTGTAGCAGAGACTAGGGACATTTTGCATGTGATGCATGCGTGGACCGCTCTGCAGACTGCTGGTGTAGTTTTGAGTTAACTTTATCTCTGATCTGTCAGGGGGGTTTAGGAGAGGTTTGGATGGATGCATGAGGGAAGCGACACTGCAGTATCTAAAGCGAGAACAAGACTAGAAGGAACAAAGCTACCTGAAACATGCATGAGCCTAGAACAGCTTTTAAAACACACTAAGGAAGAGCAATAAACCATGTTCCACTCAGAAGCAGAATTTAAGATAAAAGATGTGCCACAGAGCAAATGTCAGCTCTCTATCAGTGTTTTGTTTTATAGGGCTAGAGGGCTTGTGCGCCTTTCTCCCATGGTGACTCCTGTCTGCTATAAAGCCATTTATATTCGTTGTAGTGTGCCGGATATGTGAGTGCCCGTGCGTAAAATCAGTAATCCTCCAACTCCACTCACCTATCTGCACCGAGCTGGGGAAAGCCCCTGTTGCCAGTCCCCAAAGGGCGGAATACACCCCGAGAAAGTGCCAAGATAAAAACATAATCCTCATTTTTGTTTCCTTTCCTTCAGTCCCTTCAGAAACTATTGAGAGACATTGAGAAAGAGGCGAAGATGCGCAAGAGATTTAAAAAAAAGGAACGTAAGAAGAAAGCAAAATAAAGCTATTTTATCCCACGATTTTCCCCGTAAAATTATAATTCATAATCCATGGTGGGTTCGTCCGTTTCTCCTTCTGCAGTGTCCGCTCTGGAGAGAACGGCGTGTCCGGAGCCCGTGTGGACTGGGAGAGAGGAAGAGTGGGGAAACTCGCTCCAATGACTGGCGAGGCGGGAGAACAGGCTGCATTGAGGAACTGGACATGCGCGCCCCGTCTCTTTTCTTTTTCTTTATTCTCTCTCTCTCTCTCTCTCTCTCTCTCTCTCTCTCTCTCTCTCTCTCTCTCTCTCTCTCTCTCTCTCTCTCTCTCTCTCTCTCTCTCTCTCTCTCTCTCTCTCTCTCTCTCTCTCTCTCTCCCTCCCTCTTTCTGCCTTTCTCAGTTAAATGTGCAGCATATCTCCAGTCCGATCCCATCTCCTACTCTACATCTCATCATGCTTTATCGTTGCTACTAGAAAACGTCTACTCGGTTTAGCAGAGGAAGCAAACAATAATAAAAATCCCCGCAAGTGTATGCGTGTTTACGCGCATATCCGAGATTATGCACTCTTCCCATACAAATGCGTGATATTAAACTGCCATCATTCTGTCACTGTTTATTTAGCAACTATTTAAAAGTGATTTGTCAAAAATTAAAGGTGATGAATGAATGATTCCGGTTTTTTGTTGTTTTCCTGGTTTGGCAAAAACAAAGTGTAAAAGGAGAACCCCCAACAGAAAGTTGTTCTTAACTAACTGCATTAGAAACCCAGTTCCTGCTGCGCACCTCTGCACGCGTCTGCCGAAACTCTCCGCATCCTGGTCAGAAGATAAGGAAACCTCAGCCGGACTTTCGATGCGATGATGCCATGAGATCTGCTGAAATGATCAACATCATGACTAGATGAGAGGAACAACAAGATCATGTTCTGAACAGGTTCAATATAAGAGAAATCCTGTGACAGAACATTGTGTTACAGCCGCGTCCCGTTCAGGGTCTGTTGGTAACAGGTCGGTATGTGACAGACGAACCGAGATCACTCGGTGGAGAGCGTGGTTTCATTCCTACCAGATGGCAAGTAAAGGAACGCTTCACGGATTGTCCCAGACAAAAATGATATATGCTGCTCTGAAGGGCTTTCCCAGCTGGCAACAAAACATAGCAGCGTGTCAGCTGGAAAAAATGGGATTTTAACATTCCTCCACTCCTGACACTAGTTCTAATCAGTGGCTTTGACTTATTCAATTTTTTAACATTAAAAACATCTCCTGAAAAAGATGTTTTGTCCTTTTATGCAAAGAATTGTTGCATTTAATTTAACAGATTGCATTTGAAATACCAGTAATATAAAAAGCTTATTGACATAATCGGAATCAACTATGCACAACAAAAACAATAAAACAAACAAAAAGTCATGGACCAATGCCATTACAGCCCATTTCCTCTGGCGGGCTCTGTCCATGGTGCTGAAGTCAGACTGAGGAAGCTTCGTTCACATCCATGAGTGACGATGTTCTTCGCTGCGCTCTCACCATGTGCCAGTGAGATGTAGGAGTTAATAATTTCTTTAGAGGTTCTTTATATCTTTAACGAAGCATTTCTGTTGTATTCGTGAGGGACCTAGCATGTCTCAACATGCTATTTCTCATAAAAACAGGAAACTGATCAAAAGCAGGAAGCTGTCTCCAATAGATGAATGTAACATATCTCAAATAAATAAATAAATAGATAAATACATGTATTAATAAATAACATGGTTTATTTTATTCCTGCAAACTCAACACATTCTCACACCCAAAGCGTGTTGGCAAACCTGCATCATCATTTTTTTTATTGAAAGAAGTATAATGGAATGCTTTTACAAACAATAACAATTACACTATATCGACAAATACATCTAAAGAACTCCACAGACTATCATGTATTTTACTGAAAACATCAATGAAATCGTGGGGGGTCATTTTCAAAAATAAGATAAAGGTCATACTTGCTAAAAATGACCAAGCATCATTATCACAGACTTGAACAAAATAATAAAAGATGCATTTTTTTAAAACTGAACAAAGACTAGTTACGTTTAATCCCTCTCACATTAAGCAATTTCTGACAATTTTATTCTCAACAGTTTCAGTACCTTCCAGAATGAGCCATTTTAGGCTCTGAAAACAAGCTGTTGCGGGTCACACCCACCCACGCACCACTATCTCAGGCTGCTATGAGCTTATGGAACTAGGATTGGGACAATATTCAGCGTAACTTGTACCACGTTTTTTAACTTCGAATATGTTTCATCACATGTAACTTTGGATTCGTAACTTGTTTGGATTCGTAACTTGTTTGGATTCGTAACTTGTAACTTTAGTTTTCTAACTTATAATTCTCAATTTGTACTTGTATTTCTTGATTTGTAACAGGAAATTTTCATTTTGTACACGTATTTTTTATTTTGTAAAATCAAACTTTTATTTTGTACATTTACTACTCATTTTGTAACATCAAACTTTCATTCAGAAACATGAAACTTTCGTTTTGTAACTAGCAGACTTCCAAATTGAAAAAATCAAGGTACAAGTTTGAAATCAAAACTCTTAAAACACACATTTCATTCTACAGGTACAAACCTCAAATCTACAGTTACGGATCTTTTTGTCTCGATTCTAGCGTCAGTGGGAGGAACTTGGTTGGAACCAATGAGAGCACGAGTCTTAGCTACCAATCACGTTTCTCGAATTCCTGTCCTTCACGTCATTTTTAAACACATGGTGTTCCTGAAGCAACAGACACATGGAACTGTTCAAAGTTTCTTAAATGTTAAAAATATACTTTTGCATTTCAACGTATATTATCTAAATGTATATCTTGTATCATGATCAATATTGCATCTTCTAACAAAACCCATCATCAAGGAGTCTTATCTGTGTGTTTATATTCTGACTCCAAGTGTAATTAGTGTGAAATAACCTGATAATGGCGTGAGGGCTACTACCAATGACAACACAGGTTAAGCCCAGTTCACACGGCACGATTTTCAGGACAAGAGAGACTAAATACCTGCTGATTAGAAAAACACAGACACACACAGATTCACCAGCTTTTGTCCGACAGCAGGGGAAGGTAACTCCCCTCCCAGAGGACCAATCTTCAGCATGTTTCAGTTGCTTCAACATACCTGATATAAATCAGCAGGTGATTGAATGTCTTCTGAGGAGCTTTGTGAGCTGCTCAACAAGTGATTCAACCACTGAATCAGGTGTGTTGGAGCAGGGAAGCAATGAAAACATGCTGGATAATGACTCTTTGGGAAGGATGCTGCCTAACCCTGATCTACAGTGTGTGGTGTGCAGCAACTTGGCAAATACCCCGCACAAGCTGATTTAACTCCCTGACATTCGATGCTCAGATCGGAAATCTTACAGGATAAAACGTGACTTGGAAGTAAACAAACATGGTGGAGGAGGAGCATGTTCCTTTCCTACACGTCACATTCAACGGGCAACATGTTTGTTCCTGAAAATCAGACCTAGACCAGCCAACATGTTTGAAAGCGCAGATTTATGACCAGAGCAGTCCCAACGTCACTCCGAGCGTACCAGGGCACTCATTACACACCACACAAGGTAGGATTATCTGATAAGATAATATTTAGAACCATTACAATAATCATGTTTAAAAACAATGCTAGACCCATATTTTTTCCAGAAGTAATAATCTCAAACATATGTGAGGTATCCTAACTAACTACTGTATCTATAAAATTATATGATTTTATGTTTCATGCTACACAGTTCAAACATGTCACAGTTCTTTAACGGTCATTTTAGCTGCAACTCTTTTTTTTGCATCTCTAAGCAAAAGCATCTATCTGTCCAACAAATGATGAGGTGGCTTCCAAGCAGTTTGTCTTTCAGAGATTACAAGGAAACTTTTCATTCATCTTTTTCTTTCTCTGCACCCTACTCATCAATCTAAACATCCTCTCCATCACTGCCTCCACTTCCTTCCTCACCATTCACATGCTCCCTTTCCAGCTGATTTTCTGCCTTGCCCTCCACCTCAGCCACATGCCCTGTGACTCATCCACTTCAGTGTACTCCACATGTTCATCCTTCCTTTGACCCTTCTGCCTTTCCTTCATCATATAACCAGGAAATGATCAAAAATCATGGAAGGTTCTGGTATCTTCCCTTTGACCCAAGCCCTTCCTGCCTCCACGTGATCCATGTAAGGTCATCTCCTTCCTTATTTGTTTTTGAATCTACCATCCTGTCTTCTTTTTTTTAATCCTGCAAACAAACATATTGCATCTTATCAAATACAAATCAAACAATGAATTGAAAACGTGCATCGGTCAGTTGTTAAATGTTGGGTTTAGAGATGGGGAGCTGTTCAATTACTCTAAAGAAGGTGAGGATCTTAACTAGTCAATGACAGCTAATGAGCATTTATAACATGTAACATGCAGCAGTTCAGATTGATTTCATCATTAAGGACATTTTGTAACATTTTCTAATCTGCAGACAATTGTTTTAACATTGAAACTTGTGTTCATCCTAAAAGCCTCGTGTTTTGAAAGGGAAAAGATCACCTGTAGTTCCAACATCTCTGCTGACTATTGAACTGCAGTGCAAGTCTGAATTCAGATCCCACACATCATGCCCTTCCATTAACCTTTGAGAAGCTGTGAAGCTCTTTGCAGAGCACCAATGCTTGACTGAACTAACAAGCTCATTGTGGCAGCAGACTTAGCTCCGTACTAGCGTTCTGGAAACAACTGAGAAAGTATGAGGCATCGGTGTGACTGCCAGCAAATTTTAACAGCAGGTTCAATCACAAACATTAGAAATTATGAAAGAACTGGAACTAAAACTACGTTTCAGTGTCATGTTCTGTGTCCCTTTGTTCCTCAGCCCCTCCAGTTCCCACTCCAGGTTCTCCTTTTGTGTTTCATGGCGCCCTCATGTGTCCTTTGTCTGCATCTCTGTTGCGTGTCTTAAGTTGTAGCCCCAGCCTCTTGTTCCCCAGTTCATTGTATGTGTGTATGAGTTTGTGTGTGTCAGTATGTGTATGTGTTTGTAGAGTCCTTCCCTTAGTCTTTAGGTTTAGTTTTGTGCTTTATATAGTGTTAGGTTTATCTGCCCTCCACTGGTTCTCGTCCCCATCCAGATAATTGTTGTCACCTGCCTTCCCTCCAGCCTCACTCCCCACACCTGCTTCCTGTTT